GGGTGTGGGTGTGGGTGTGGGTGTGGGTGTGGGTGGGTGTGGGGTGTGGGTGTGGGTGTGTGGGTGTGGGGTGTGGGTGTGTGTGGGTGTGGGTGGTGGGTGTGGGTTTGGGTGTGTGGGTGTGGGTGTGGGGTGGGTGTGTGGGTGTGTGTGGGTTGGGTGTGGGTGTGGGTGTGGGGTGTGGGCGTGGGTGTGGGTGTGGGTGTGGGTGTGGGTGTGGGTGTGGGTGTTCCTTCTATCTACACTCACACCCACACACCCTCGAATAAAACAATTCAAATTCTTATCGAACACCATACAAAATTCTTCATTGTCTTATCTTGAACAATATCTTTCAATTGCTTGCGCTCTGATTAATAAATATCGCTCACCAATTAAAACATCTATACCAGAAGATATTGAAATTGGACACAAAATGATCGCTTCACGTGACCAGAAAAAGAAACATTTGAGGCAGTAACTGTAATTAGTCTTCAACAATAGCTCTCATCTAATGTGCTGCCATAACTTTTAGTTTCTCGAACAAAAAGATTTGAAAAAGCAGTCATCAAAGTGGGAAAAACTGGATCATACAGACATACGGGCCGATTTTCCAATATTATTCGAAGACGACATAGTAAATAATATCACTCTAGGTACTTTAGTTAAACTTAGCATCGATTAATATATTCTGTATTGGGCTTCTATTTCAGGAATTTTTCAGATAAAGCGAGCTCGGTCATATGCCGAGGAAAAGGCGTCGACAACAAATCTTATCGGACCTGTGGATTATACCATTTACAGGTGCATAGAATTTCCGAATCTTATACGTGTTCCAACCCTGTCAGCTCACAAAAATAGAGTAGTATACTCTCCAATTATTCAATTCACATCTCAAGAAATCTTGCAATGGTGGTGCAATTGTCCTATAGGGCGTGGATATGTGGGATGTTGCAGTCATGTCGCTTCTGCCATATGGTTTCTATCATATGAGCGCTGGCCGCACAACATTCATCACATGCCATCAGGAAATTTCATTAATTTAGCGATTGATGCTGGTCAACTATCAGACTTTTACGAATCAACGGATGATGAACACGACAGTAACCAAAGCTAGCCACCATATGCATCAAAAATGTGAATTTTGCTGATATTCTATCAAAATGCATTTTCATTAAAATGCTATTGAACTTCTCAATATATATTCTGACAATAGTTTCATGTCCTTCATAACATATTTTCCACCCCTGTAGTTCTATGTTCTCAAACAAAAAGTTACAGAAAAACAAATACTCGGTATCATACACGTTTATGATATCCACGATACATACACGAATTCCCTTCTACGGCATACACACCAACCGTTTCTATTCACTGATTTCCTTGTCATTCTCGAAAATCTAAATTCAAAGACCTATTGAGCAAATCATTCAAAGAAAGCGTTTCTATTTTCTCCTCATAACCACACATACGAATATTAGCACACACAACCTAAGTGGTTCAACTAAACACAGAAATACTCAATAATACGTGTAATGGCTCATAGCTGCCAAGAATTTTTTTTTCGATTTGTCTTAATCATCTTGTAGCATTTTAAATAAGCTTTCGGATGATATATAATTCAACTTGCTGGTCCCTTTCTATATGTCAGAATATGCAATGAACTTTGATTCGTGGTAATGCTTTATATAGGTATATGACTACATAATATATTGAGGCCCGTCCCCTAAAACAGCACATCATATTGATCTGATTTTTATATTAAAACAATTGCTAGACCTAATGTGATGATTTTAGAAGGGAAAAGTGGTACTTTGTTGGGGGGGAGGGGGGAGGGGGGAGGCAAATTTCCGGTCTTAACGTCCCCCCTCCTTTCGTAGTGAAAAAGCATCAATCAAAAACGTATTTATATACAATAGATAATCACTGTAGGTTTTACAATATTTATTTATTGTAATTCATATTTCATCCCATTTACTAAAATTTTGAAAAGTTTACTACTGCTGTTTCAGAATTGAAAATATTCCCACTTACAGTATATATCTATCATAGGAAAAAAACATTGTGTCAGATTTGAGAACAAATATACATTTGTCACATGTTGTTATATTTTTTTTCTTTTCTGCTTCTTTCTTGAGGTATTGCACCATATTTTTGCAAGATACTACAATTCAAGCGTCATAACTATTTTTATTTATTCATTTGTTTTTATTGTTCCCTGTTACTTGAATTAAGAAGTAGCTATGGCAGAATATTTTAAAATTCCATTTTCTAATCAACGAAATTATATTGAAATCAAATTTTCACAACCGACAGGATCGACAACAACAAGTTATGTTGCTGGTAGTGATACTGAGATTATCTGTTGTGTTGACACAAGTGGTTCGATGGCTGGAAGTCCTGTACACAATGTTTGTGAAGTTTTGCGTGATATTTATCAACGTACACAAAAAGATTATCGTCTTTTTACATACAATACACAAACAGATACAAAACGTACCTTAAAAACATTATTTGAACAAAAGAACGATTTGAAAGCTGAGGGAGGCACCTCATTTGCATGCATATTTAATGCAATCAAAGATTATCTTCTGCAAAATTCATCATCAAAGAAAGCATCTACCTTCATATTTATGACTGATGGACAGGATAATGAGCCTAATGGTCCAGCATTGAAAAAGAGTATTGAGATGTTAAAATTGGTTTTAAGTGGAATGAAAAGTGTAAGTTTTTGTATGTTTTCACGAAAAGAGAATCAGATGACATCTATTGTTAACAGGAACACATAGTACAGAGTATGGTTGCTAAAATATGTATTGCAAAATTTGCTCGATTTCGTCTTTCAGAGTAACTCTCGCTAGGAAATAATCTTTAGTGGCGTGGTAATGCAAAGAAATGTTGTTTAGAGTAAAGATCTCTAAGAAATTTTGAGTGTAAATATGATGTAGGATTTCAGTGGATTAAGCAGTTGAGATTGATGATCTTTACCATACTTCACCTACATTCACAGCTGCATCTACTATTACCTAGACACCTGTGCATGAATTTAGAATGAACAAGAAATATTTTCGTAGTTGCAATAAGATTTGACAAAAAATTAGATATTTAGAATTCGTTTTTTCTTTTACTCTTATGTAGCAGTACCTGAAGAAACTATTCCAGAGGTCACTTGTATTTTGTGTGTTTCCGTAGGTGATAATTTAAAGTAATTAGGCTTATTTTTTTTTGTCTAAAGTTGAACATATCTATTGTTTGGTCATAATAATATCATAATAGATGAAACATGTATCTGAATTAAGGAAAAAAAAAGGTCCTTCCTCAAAGTTGCAATTTAAATAACATATATAATAACTGTCTGTTCTGCTACTGAATTATCTTTCATGTAATTTCGTACTTTGTTCTCCTTAGTGTCCTCCTGTTACGTTTCATGTTATCGGTTTTGGTGAAGTTAACGATCATTTTCTTAATCAAGTACGCACAATCGGTACACGTGAAGGTCTTTTTCGTTATTCAACGCAATCAAAAGAACTACAAAATAATTTTAATGATATGTTTGAATATGCATTGAATATACGTGAATTTGCTATTAAACTTTCAAATGGCAAAACCTATACTGTCAACAATGTTGATAATGAAACGGTTGCTTTTCTAACGCAGGATAGTGATGATCTCACTACGGTGACAGAGTTAACATTAATTGATGATAAAAAAGAACCAAAAAAGTTTTCTTTGACACCAAAGCAAACTGTTCGCCCTATAGATCTTTTACGTGCACTCAATCTTATTTCACCAGATGATGAAGAACATGTAAAATCAATACAAACACAATTGAATACAATTAAAATCACAGACAGTAAAAATTTAATGGAACGTTTAGAAGCTGAACAAATTTACAAGGAAATTGATCAACGTATGATGGAATACCGTCAATTATTTACACAATTAAAAATGAATCAAGTACCAGAACGTGTAAAACTACAATTAAGTGCATTAAGACATGATGCTATATTTGCTAATACACAGCGTAAGAAAAAATTAGATTTAAGAATAAACAAAAACGCTGAATACTTCAAGAAGACAGATATCAGTGGTATATTACAAGGATATAAAGATTCGATTACATTGGATACATGGCAAAAGATTAAAGAACAAAAACAGGATTGGGTTGATGTCTATTCAAATGATGATATCTATGAAATTATGAGAAAATCTCCAGATAATATTTTATGCTTAGGTAACACTTTTACAGTAAAATTAACGTATCAATAAGAGAAAAGCCTTGAAATTAAGAACAATTGTGTAGTATACTCATTATCTAAACCTAGAGTCAACTGAAACTAACTTTGATTGCATTCTCTCATAAATGAGTATTATATTTAGTATAAACTTGATGTCTGCAGCATAGTGTCAATCTCAATGACTTTTTGTTAGTCTTAGAAGATTTCTCACGGTTCTAGAACCGGTTAAGTTGTCTAGAGTAAAAACTATCCTTGTCTTCTGATAAAATCTGGAGTAAGGATGTCGGTACGTTCATAAGCTAGAACACTTAGATAGGTAGTTATACTGGCATCGATTAAGTCAACTTATATTTTAACTACAAACTTAGACATCGAGTCCAGTTGATCAATACAATAACTCGACTTTTGCGACTATAGAAGGATTCAGACAGCTAAAATTTTCATAGAATAGTGCTAACATGATGGAGGATCTATGATTTGCATGTTTCATTTTGAGACAACTCTTCTTTACATCTGATAAAAACTTGTTAAGGTCGCAAAGATCTACGAGCTTATTGAGAAAATAGAAGTAGTAGAGTAGTGATCTTGTGAATACAGAGCAATTGTTGACGCTCAAATTTGATGACCTAAGAATGGATTTCGTATATATTCTGAAGCACATTTGTAGAAGACTATGATTTCTCAGAATCATTTGGAATCTTACATTTAAGGAGGAGTTATTTTTAATAAAAGCTCTAATTTTTAAGATATTCAATAATCCTATTATTTACTAATATCCATAGTTGTTACAGAAGAGATCTTTGTAGAAGGTTATGCATACAATACCAAAGCTAAATGGTAAAATATCATTTGTCTACTTTTATTAGGTATTTACGTTCAACGAGACGAAGAAGCTATTGAAAATCCAACAAAAGGTTTAAAACTTTTGAGTCTTACTAATACAATCATTTCTTATGATTCATTTATCAATGCCATGAATGTAGCTAAAAATGATCGAGAGTCACAAGGACAATTTACAGTTCTAAATGATCTTTATTGTGTAGCCGGTACTCTATCAGGTGAACGCATTAATGCTGTCATACCACTATATATCAATGATGAACATATGAAACGAATACGTATTCTTGAAGGTATATGGCTTGGCTATCTCTATACCTTAGATAGTTATGGATATGATAAACAACAAGAAGTTGGCCTATTAAAATTACTCTATCAAATTATTCAAAAACGTACAGATACAAAACGACAAAAACAAATTTTAAATGAACTTGAAAAAGTATGTCAATTTATTATTAATGAATCGCAAGGTTTTAAAACAGCTGAACTCCATGGTGAGAAGACATATGAAAAGCTATTAAATCGACAAATCATTGTGAGTAATGAAGAATATGATCTATGTACACCATTGATGATTGGTTATTTAAAAAATAATTTAACATCTGTTCTCTTACCAATTTATTATGAATATCTTAGACAAGAATATCAAAAGAAGTATACAAAAAAATCATTGCAAGTAAAACAAATTGTTGAAAAACTTGTCTATGGTCGTGAAGCAAAACGTTTCTCAATGACAATCACTACCAGTAATCAAAATAACATGACAGAAAATACAAATGATCCTGATCATATTGAAAAAAGTTTTATTGATTATTTTCATGATGAACTATGCCAACCAATTCAATTAATACAAGAAAAAATTAAAAATGAAAATCGTAAACTTATTATACGTGATGAAACTGAAATCGATTATATTAAAAGTTTTCTATTACCAATACCTGATTTTATTAAAATTATGTTAAATTTATTGTGAAATTGATGAAGACTACATTGAAAAACATTTAGATTATGATCATTTAAGATGGGAATTATTAATTACTTTTTATTATTTAATCTATTCAGATACAACTAGTACAGCATCACAAAATTTATCTAGTAAAGAACGAATTTTGTCTACGATTGATGACAAATTACAAGGTAAGTTTATCGAAAAAAGAAAAGATAATTCAAGAAATAGATTATGATATAGTAAAAACTTATATGACATATATTCCAGGTTCTAAAGACGATGCTGTTTGTTATGATGATTCATCAGAAAGTGTACGCCTCGTCAGTTATGTTGCTCTCAATTGTAAGACACTTGAAGGATTTGCTGGGTTAATGCGTAAATATTGTTCACAAGGTAGTGGTCCTATATTTACTGAAATCTTTAAACAACTTCTTTTATCATATGATGCCGAAAGCAATGGTACAGACATAGGAATAACAAAGAAAGATAAACTTCTTGCTTTACTTACAAATCAAATTTCAACAGAAACAGCGACAAAACGAATTTATGAAAATATGAAAGAGAATCATCGTCTCCCATCTTTCTGCGAACGACTTAATCAATTACGTGATTTTATTCAAGACAAGAAAGTTGATCAAATTAGATTTCAAATTTTTGACAAAATCGTCATCTATTGCCGTGGTACATCAACTTTGCAAAAACGAAAAACTAACAGACGAAGAGATCATTGTTATAATTTATGTTGAAAAGAACTCAATGATGACTTTCCGTTTTCCAAAGAAGATGCGTATATAATATTCTTTCTTATATTTCTCTAATTTTATTATCATCATATAGAAGATATCTATTATAATTACGAAATTTCGCATTCTTAATCCAGATTTTTCATACATTTGTCAACTTTTCCTTGATTAATAAATATGCTAATGCTATATGTACTCTAATTGAAACATATACATATCTTGAAAATATTCTATATACTTCCACATAGTTGCATCGAAACTATGGCAATTACAAAGACACAGTCTTTCTCAATATTCTTCACGATCGTATTGAAAAAAAAAACCTAGAAATTTTTGCTACCAATGAATAATCTTGCGGTTAACTAAGAATTCACACATGACAATCGTCTTCTCACGGTTGCTTATTTGAAAACATCATATATTTATTTTACCTAATCCGGACTGGTTGGCAAACGTTTGATTTTAATTCCACTTTCATAGAACAACATAGAAATTACGAGTACGTTAAAAGACAATGGGAAGTAATGCTTTAAATATTGATCTTCTTTTTTGGATAAGACACACATCTACAATCAAATGAAATGAAACTCAATATAAAAAGAAGAGAACTCGTGCGTACATATCTGCTAACATTCCATAGAAAGAATGTCGGAAAATTTACATACTTATGAATTCTATTCTGATCTAATATATTTTCGATGAAAAAGTAAAATATTGATATACGTAATTGTTTACTCTCAATCGTACGACCATACTCAATAATTAATAGGTATAGTTGAAACTTTATTTTCAACATGCTTATCCAAACAGGGTGTGAATATGGAGTACAGTTGTAGTTATTGCTTTGAGTTTCATCTTTATTCGTTCGACCACGCCCACTCGCTCCACATTCTTTACACACAAGCTAATATATTCGTACACATATCAAGCAGAAGGCTGAAAACAAAAACATTCAGCAGGAGAAGGACACGAAATTCTTGTTGTTGATGCTCAGGTTTGATGCATTTTCCGATATTATTTTTATTGAATCGTTATAAGATTGAAAATTTCGTAGTGCTTGATGTAATATAAAAATGAGTATAAATTGATTAGACTTTCAGATATTATCATCATACTTGTGTAATCATTACACTTCTTCTCCACCATTATTTTTTGCAACTATTCGATGACTATAAGTGTTATTGATATAAAAATAAAAGAAAAATTATATTTTTTGCTTCACACATCAAGAGTAATGGTGTTCAGAATACACCAGATGATGGCTAAAATTAAAAATGATTCAATACTTATTTTTTATTTGATATTATTAATAGCCTATAGACAAAGAAAAGAAGACGCTGGATCATTACGTACGTTTTTTTCTTTGATTCATTTAGCACGAGATTACGTTTGTGCTTTTGATTAGTATGATTTGTATTTTATTGACATTTAAAAAGATTATTTATATCACTACCTATCATTCTAATCTATAATCAACAAAACGATAATGTATACCCTATGAATAAACCATTTCTCGATAAAAATAATACGCAGGTTTGGCATCAGAAATGACGATGCAAGAATCACTGAACTATTTTTTCTCGAAATGTGGATTCAAACATATCTCTACATTTATCATCTGCATAAAGATTTATCAATATATCACTGTATTTTGTAAAAATTAGCTTGAGAAAATGATCCGTTGTAAGAAAATGTCTCACTCATTATCAGTTACTTTCCATTTAAAAAAATCCTATTAGTAGAGCATAGAATAAGTCTTTGGTCAGCTTAGCAAACATTTTGTTACACATGAAAGAAAGACTCAGAATTAATTTTTCATCTGTTTATGGCAAGGACTTGTGTAGGAAAAAAATGTACTTTTTATGATGAGTTACTTACTCTGAAAAATAGGTTAATTTTGATAAACAACAACCGATACAAACAAATATACCAAGTTTTGATGGAATATGAACAAAATTATTGAGTTTTCGTCGATTGTCATGCCTGTCTTACTTAGTTTAAAATATACGAAAAGTAATCCTTTTGAACTAAAATTTTTTTGTTTCATGGAGTGTGGGTGTGGGTGTGTGGATGTGGGTGGGTGTGGGTGTGGGTGTGGGGCGTGGGTGTGGATGTGGGTGTGGGGGTGTGGGTGTGGGTGTGGGGTGTGGGTGTGGGTGGGTGTGGGTGTGTGGGTGTGGGTATGAGTATTAGTTCATCGAATTTTATACCTATATCCACACCCCCATGACAGTTTCGATGAACAACGAATAGATAAGCTGCATAATATATTTCAACATTTTAGAACAAATACAAAATTGATATACATGACTACGTAATAGAGCTAAAGTCTACATCCATTTGAATCAATTACAACATGAGCACAGGCATGCTAATTTTCCTACGGTATAAATTTTAATACAGTAGGGATACATTTCTATAACAAGCGGAAAGTTGAAGTCGATTATTTAATATAACACATACAACTATATATTCATCTTTTCTTCATGTGAAAAAGCAAAACTTCGAGAGTACTTTCACATGTATAGTCTTTTTCTACTTTTTAATGCATAATTAATATTTGCAAATTAATGTTGAACTATCAAAAAAAGCGAGTTTCGGTGAGTATTTTATCTAATAACGCATGATAGACTGATTAGAAATGTAATTTAATGAAAAAATACTCTTGCCAAAAGAAGTTAAGTAGTTATAACATAGAACCAAGGATAACCAAGATTGAACACTTGGAGAAGCTTCCTCGTCAGACCCAAAGCGACTGTGCTATCTCACTGGAAAGAATTTATTAGAATGTAGCAGATGTCATTTTCAAAATTTTGTTGAATGGAAATTTAATATGCAAATAAGATCTTGAGTACAAATATAAAGGGCCTGTTCTCATTTGTTCGGTGTATATTATCTAGATGAAAATCTATACCAAGAAATCTCTAAATTCAACATTTTCAACGAATTTAAACATATTAAAAAAAATATCAGATGTTCATATCTTAGCATACAAACAGTCAAAAGGCTGTTTTTTTTCTATTTTCTTGATTGGTACCATGACAATCTTCTCAATAATAATACCTAAAATCAAATTAGAAGCAAGAAATCTCTTTATAGTATTCATAATTGTTGCTTAGAAGTGATTTGTTGCTAACTTAAGAAACATTCTCGTTTAATATATGTGCGAAAACTAGGTGAACTGAATATCACTCAATCAAATTAGAATAAGTATACTGTATCATCATTTTTTCATACTGATTTTCAAACGAACGAAAATTTTTGACTTTGATATTGCTTCCAGTATCAATTTTTCTCTGAATCACATAGTTAGATCAGATATTTAGAAAAAAGT